AAATACACATACCCAATCCTAATAGTTTGTGCCTAGGGAACCTACTAAGTGATGCCCAACTTACACTCTCTCCCCCAAGCCCCACGCCTTCTTTCATTCCTAACGTGATGATCCCAGACCTGTAATTACCCTAGCCAGGCTGCCACAGGGTCTCCCCCAACACAATTGCAAATGTCTCCCCTCATACAAAAGCCTGAGACAGGATCCAATGCTGTCAGCTCCTCTATCCAGTGTAATTCAACGCCATCATTTCTCTTGGTCAGAGCATGACACTCGGCTTCCTAGTCTGGCCACATCTGCTTTTCCCTCATATCACCCTCTCAGATTAGAAGCCCCTGGTTAGTATGGCGTGGCTCTCAGGGCTTCTGATTTCAGCTGCTAATGCTCATCATTTCTCACTTTTCCATAGGCTAAATATTCATGTTCTCCATGTCTTCATCCAAACGGTCAATGTGGGTATTAAGCAGGTGGGCTCCAAGGCACGGCCCTACCCTGGAGTCCTTGACACCTCAGCTCTGCCTCAGTCCATTAACCACAGCCCATGGGCACATGTTCATCAGCCACCATAGATAGGCATGTGCCACTGTCATCAAATCCGTATTTTCTCTCCTAGACCTTCAAGGACATAGATGAGAATCCACAAATGCTCCATGAGAAGCTCAACTTGACATCTAAAAAGCTGAATGGAATTCAGTTAAACTCCAGGATCATCTTCCTGCCCTGCCTAGTCTTCCCTTCCACAAAATCAGCTCATTCAAACCACATCAAAAGGAAAATATTTCTCATGTATTTCCATTACCAAGTTCTGCTATACATTCACAAATTCTGTGCGTTGGGGGCAGGGGTCAAACCCAGGGCCTTATGCATGCTAGGCAAGCACTCCACCACTGAGCCACATCTCAGCCACACATGTTTAAACCTTTCAACATCAGAAGGTCTCTGACGTAGATACTTTCTGGTTCTAGCCTAAAAAGAGCCACAGTCAAAATGCTGTAAACAGATCACCATAGCTGCACATCCATCAAAATGCATTGGTGGGCACTGAAGTTTGAACTTCGACAAGCCACCAAATCTCATTCCTTTTTATGTGAGGCCAGCTTCCTTCCATTCTGGACTCTCACGCCTGAGGTTACCCAAGCATTAAGGACCAAGATTTTTCCCACCTTAGGACCAAACGTTGCCTATCTTGGGAACTCTCTTGGCCCTATGCAAACCCTGACAGATATTTGGAAGCTCTTTTTGGACAGCTGCTTGGTATCTGGTTTCTGCTAAGCATGGGGGGGGGGTGCTCACAGATGAACACAATGCATCCTCAAAGTACGAGATTCCCTACCACAAAAGCAAGGACAGGTGGTAGCGAATAGCCCACCATGCAGATGTATTCATGGGGCAGTGCCATGAGCTCCACATTCAGGAAGGAATTGCAGAAGCAACCCCCAGTCTGGGGGGCTCTCCTGATTCAACCGCAAGCTCCAGCCATCCCCCTCTGCTCCCCTCAGCATGGCTCTCCAGGTCCAGCTCCCACATCTCAGGCATCTGGAAGCTTCTCAAAGGCTGAAGCAGCCACTAGCAGACTTGGAGAAAGGACGAAGTTCAAATGTTAAAACTACCAGAGTAGTGACCAAATGCTGGTCTCTGCCTGCAGCAGAACCCATCAGAGGACCTCCCCCTCCGAGGACACTGTCGTGGCTAATCGGCCCTAGGATTCTAGAACTTAAGCTGGCCTGGTCATGTCCTACCTCATTTCCTGAAAGCACAGTTCATTCCTTATACTACTACTTCCTGAGATCAAGATCAGCTATTTTTGGTAGGGAGGGGGCAAGGTACCATGTAGCCCAGGCTAGTCTTGGAATGGATGAGGATGACTTGTAATCTGCCTGCTTCCACTTTCCACATCCTGGGGTTCCATGGGTGCCTCACCCAGTCTGTTTATATCCTGGTAGAGCTCAAACTCAGAGCTTCTGGTGTGCTAGGCTAGCACTCATCCCAAGCCACATGCCCACTCTAGCTTGTTTCTTTTCTGATCCACACCTGCCCCCTCAGAGCCTGGGCTCTGCAGATGTACTCCTCACCTCCTCTCCTGTGCGTTCACTCTGGGCCTCTTTCTCAAGAATGGGTCTCTACCCTGCAGGTCGTTCTGATGGCCCACAGCAGCTTCCAACCTCAGCCATGCTGATGTCCTCTCCCACAAGACCATTAAGACTAAATCTCGTGAAAGGGTGAGCATTGCATCATGGGTAGGCATCATTTAAGAGTCTCGCAGGTGATGCCCATGCTCAGCCCAGAACAAGCCCCATGGTCTAAGATGTTCTTCCATGGCGTGGAAGTATAATACTAAAGGGGAACTGGCCCAGCCCTTTGTTCCTCTGTCTCCCAGATGAGCACCTTATATAACTATGTCCCCTCGTTCATGAAATGAAGCTGATAACAGCATTTGCCACATAATTTAGAAGAATTAACACAGACAAAAATAATCACAAGAGCTGCAAGCGCCATTCTAGCTCTCAGCCACTTACTATTTAGTCTAAAAGACTGTATGGTGGCTGCCGGGCAGGTGGTTTTTTAAAAGGGAGGAAGAATATGATGCCTGAGAGTTTTAGGGAGGGAACAGGCAAGCCATGGGAAAGTAAGAAAGGACACAGCCCAGCTTTGCTGATGTCACAGATCTGGTCCAGGGGCTGCTGGCCCTGAAATGGGTGTCACCCGTGGGAGTCACCTTTCCTCTCTGACCCTCTCATTCTTGAAGATAATTGTGTTGCTATGCCATGTTTAAGCAGGGTAGAAAAAAACGAGGCAGAAGGCCTCTCCTAAGAAGCCTCATCAGCTGGTCTCCATTGGCAGGGGCTCGCCATTCTTGGTCTGTGAAGTCACTGGCATAGACAAACAAAGGAAACCAGAACTCTGGCCTGTGAGGACCTGGAGGCACCAGGCCAGGTCTGAGCTCAGTTCCATTTTAGCAGCCACACATCTTTCTCAATGTCATGCAACGCACTATGGGCCTTGACAGATATTAAGCAATAGCCTAACAAATCCTGTTCTTCGCCCTGCAGGGCCTCCTCTGAGCACTGGCCAGAAGCCGCCTGGGTGATTCGGGAAGAAAATCTTGCCCGTTTCCTGGTCCTTGTCCTCCTGGCACCCCACCTTGGAGTGGAGAGCCCATGGGCTGCAGTGAGTCTGAACTCACTTCACCTGGCTCCACAGGACTGCAGAAGCAGGGCTCAGGAAGGAAGGAGACACAAAAACAGCCCTGAGCTTCCACTACACGTGGCTCATCCCTGTGCCCACGGCCAGCCAGGCCACACACACCCCAGTCCAGTGCCTCCCTGCTTTGCCACTGTTCCGACTGGGTTTCCCCACCATCCAGGGTTCGTCTCACATGGCTATTCTGATCTGTTGATTATGCCTACCCGGAGAAGTACATCTAGAAACCTGAGAGAGGGCAGGAAGATGGTTCCATGGTTAAGGCACTTGTCACCCAAGTGTGGGGATGGAGTTCAGATCCCCGGAGTCCACATAAATGTGGGCATGGAAACCCGCTTGTAATTCTAGCCTTGGAAGGTGTAGACAGAGGATCCCTACAGCAAGCTGGCTAATGAGACTTGATAGATCAGTGAGCTCTGGATTTGACTGAGAGCCCTGCCTCAGTGAGCAAGGTGGAAGAGCCATTGAAGATGTTTCCTGACATCCACCTCAGGCCTCAACGTGCATGAGCACACACATGCCCACAGACATGCAAACTTGTATACATTCGCCCATGTACACACACACATGCACGTACACACACACACACACACACACACACACACACACACACACACACACACACGGGTGTGGGAGAAAACCTGAGGGATGGGCACAACTTAGTGGTAGAGTGTCTGTTTAGTAGGCATGGGCCCTGGGTTCCATTTCCAACACCACAAATTATGTTTTCTTTTTGACCTTTGTAAGTTGGTTTTTTTGGGGGGTTTGTTTGTTTTATCTTTTAAAGGGTAAAAAAGGAAAATAGCACGTAATTCTTTTCTGGGCACAGGAGCATGCACTCATAATCCCTGCTACTTGGGAGGCTGAGGCAGGAGGATTTACTGGGGTTCCACAGCTCCTGGCCAGCATGGGTCATGCTATGAGACTAACAAAACAGGTCAGAAAGCCAACAGTGGGTGGCTTCTTTGGGTAAAGGCAGGCTCTCTGGAAGCCTGTGTGGCGGTGACCTTCTTCGTGGGCCATGTTGTACCTGGCAAGGTTCAAACTACACAAATTTGCTATATTTCTATAAATAAATAAATAAATAAATAAATAAATAAATAAATAAATAAAAGCATTCTAAAGGAAGAACAAAGAACGTTGTTCTAGTAGCAAAATGTCACTGTGGGGGAAAGGATGTGAATAGCAGGAAGACAGATCCAAACCCATCCCAGGCTCCCAGCATGCCCTGCACACAGGGGAGGACCATAGGCTTGTAAAGGTTGCTGCTCCATCCTCGGTGAAGTCTCACCTACCCTGGGCTTCTCCAGGAGGCTCAAAGCTCCATGGGGGAAAATGACCTTGCTCAGCTACGCTTTCTCCATCCACCCAGCTCAGCACTCAGAATGTAGGAAGTACTTAGTAAAGCCTTGTTGACGAGGATGAAGGATAGCTGGACATCAGTGAGAGTACTGAGTGCTGTGCAACTTAGAGAGCCAGAAAATGCTGGTCTTTGGATGCGTGAATGAAGCCTTCTCTCGGCTTGTTTCCCCCAGTGGCCTGTCAGCTCCTTAAAGATCCGGCCACGTTCATCCTCTGCTCTCTTGCCCAAATGCTGTAGGCAGGAAGAAGCAGGAGGCCTCTTGCTGACCCTGCCTGGAGAGAGGAGGCTGGTAAGAATGTCCTTACCAGGAGCTCGCACAGAGAACACAGAGAATGACCCCCAGGTATCGTACAGCCTCCTGAGTAAACAGTGCAGGACACAGGGATTTCAGCCTTCCTCCCTCTGCCCCAATACCCAGAAATGTCTTTATTCAAACCTTACGAGCCCTGTAGAAACAGTCTGTGGCTTGAGGGGGTGGGGGAATTCCATGCAAGGTGTCTCCACCCCAAGAGCTGCCGGGTCTGTTCAGCTCCACATCCACCTCCTGGAGCCTGAGGAAGCTGGGGGGAGGGTAAAGGGGAGAGTCAGGGAGAGCGGGAGTGCGGTACAGAGCCTACTGTGGTAGTGCGGGGGTAAGACCAAGGAAGAAGTCTGCAGAAACAGGGCTCCACGGCCTCCATGGCAGCCCCACCCCTCAAAGGGGTTATCCTAGCCGTGAAGAGGATGGACATGTCTAAACACAGCCACCTTCTCATCTGAGAGAAGGGAACTGAAGCCAGAGGCATGTAAGTGTCCCCTGGGGACTCCTGAGCAGGCACCGCAGAGCAGGCTAGGCCCTGTGGACAACCTGTCCTCACCATGAGCACATCTTGGACACAGCAGCTGGAGCCACTGCCACCGGCTTCAGTCGGGGAGCTAATCACCATCTCCTCCCTGCTTTGCAGACTGTAAGATCAAGGAAGACCCTGAGAGGTGGACTCAGCCACTCAGGGGCACTTGCCTCTCGGCATCAAGTCGGCCATCTGGGTAGAGGGCATGATGTCATTTCCAGGAAGGGATTGACTGAGGGAAGAAGACTCTTCCCCATAGAGGGCAGCAGCTCCAGTGGCAGCCCAGACACAAAGAGGTCCAAGGCAAAGGCTGTATTCCTTGCTTGCCTGCCTTTGCTTCTCCATAGTGAGTGTGTGCATCATAATGATGCTGCAAATGATGCTGGTGCTGATGCTGGTGCTGAGGTTGCTGGTGCTAGTGGAGTACCACTAGCTGATGCTGGTGCTGGTGCTGGTGGTGATGGTGCTGGTGCTGGTGGTGGTGTGGTGGTAGTGGTGATAGTGTTGATGATAATAGTGGTGGTGATAATGGTTTCATCCTTTGATGACATTAGTACTAAATTTCTTTGTCCTTACAACATGGACTGAAGAGCAGCAGCTCTCCAAAATCTCTTGAACCTTCCAGGCCTACAGCATCAGATTGGGACTGCTAAGGCATCAAGCCTCATGAGTTGACCAGTGACCAGGTTCTCGGCATCTCTAGTATGCAAAGATCCACTGTTGGACATTCAGTTGTTCTGTGTAAGTCGATCTCATTAACCTCCTCTGTAGAGACATCCATCCAATTGGTTCCGTCCCTCTAGAGAACACTAATACAGTGTGTCTCTCACCCACAATCTCCTCCAGGCCATTGGGCTGCAGAGGCCAGGATAGCATCAATCCCTGATAGGCCTCAGTGTCCAGCCTTGGAGAGCTTCTGCTGACTGTGTGTCCTTTTTCTCTGCTGAGATCTTGGGAGCTCTAGGCTCATGGATCTAAACACACATCTCTGCACCCCTTCACCATCCAAGTGGGAAAAAGCTAGGATGAAGCCCAGCTCCCAGAAGCCCTGGCCAATGCTAACAGAGAGATGGGACCTGCCAAAGTGTTCTTCTCTCCAAGCACCAGCATGGACCTGTGTCTTCATCACTGGACCCCAGAAGGCACACAGGATTCCAGGACCCTGAACATCCCCACACTGGAGTTTAGATCCCTCATGCCTGAGCATCCACCAGAGGTGGGAGCTACTGTCTGCACCTCTCTGGGTCATGTTCCTTCAGTGTTTCCAGTGTGTGAAAGCACACAGCAGAAGAGCTGGAGGCCGCAGGGTCCCCAGCCAGATATACCCTGAGCCAGAGGCCATGCTCTCTTCCATCTTCATCCCACATGCACTTGTCCAGAGCAAGGGTTTACCCTCAGGCTCGGCACCACAGGGCCATGATGGCTTGTTTCCTAGCCCCCTGGACAGGAAGGACTGTGTCTAGGTCACCTGCATTCCCAACAGTACCTGGTCTACAGTCTGCCATAGGAATTCGTAAGAACAGGACCATCAAAAGCTTCCCTTACTTTATCAAGGAATGATAGTCATGGATGATTCTTCATTTCCCAACTTCTCCCTGCAGGTACTGTGACAAGCCTAGTCAGTTCACGTGATCCTCACAGAATGTGTTGATATAGGCCTGACTACCGTCCACGTACCAATACTCAGTGAGGAAGAGGCAAGGGTTTCACCTCACAGGTGCAAAGGTCGGAGCCAGGTTCATCCCAGATAGCCCAGCCAGGACCTCACATTCCCAGCCAGCCGTGTGGCAGTACTTGTCCCCCATCAGAAGCCATTCCAGAGATCTGATGTCATCTAAAAGCAAGCATGAATGTTTCATCTTAATGTGCCTGGCACACAGTAGGTGCATTGTGAAGATCTACCAATGGTTATATTAGCAAGCAACAAAATGTCTGTACAAAAGCGAGTGTCAAACAAAAATGTAGACCATTCAGAAATGCAGCTGCCCCCCTGCTTTGTTCTGCTTGTTGAGTGTGTCACACACACACACACACACACACACACACACACACACACACACCCTGTGTATCAGGAAGAAGAGGCTGTGTGCCCATAGCTCCACTCCAGAGGGATAATTCCAGCGGGGAGGCAGGCTTGGGACCAGGAAGTAGGCTAGTGCCCTTGGGTGGATGAATATACCTCTCAGAGCTTCGATTTTCAAATCTGCAGAGCAGGGAGGAGATGATTTCTCTTCCACCCCTTAAGATGTGTGGGAGACTGTTCCAGGTTACCATCCAGCCTCCCTGTGTGGATCTAGCAAATGCCACCACAGCCCTACTGTCTGTCCATGACGGCATTAGGATCTCCAGCAGAGATGTAGGAGGTGAAACCCAGAGGGCCCACATGGTCATGTGGTCATCAGCGCCTCTTATGGGCTCCTGCCTTCCACCTCTTTCCAAAATTGTGAGGCCTCTGTGACTAGAATTGAGATTTAACCATGCTTACGTAAAGCACAGGACAGACACACAGTAGCAGACCACCTCTCTCCTCCCTGTGTGTATGTGTGTGGGGGTGTGCGTGTGCATGAATGTGTATGCATACATGCACACTCCACAAGGGCCAAACTAGTCTCAGTTTTAAGTATTCCTTCTTATTAATAGAACCATGCAAAAACGCATGTCCAAATTTAGGGCTCAGAAATAGATCACTATTGTTCTAGACATGATTGCTCCCAAAATGTATGCAAACACTTTAACTGACCCTTTGAGAAATAAAGAATTAAGAGACAGGGCCAAACAATCTATTAAAGAAAAGTAATTCAAGACAGGCATAGTGGCACATGTCGGAGACTCTGAGTCCAGCCTGATCTACATAGAAGTTCAAGGCCAGCCTTAGCGCAAGACTGAGACCCTGTTTCAAAAGGGGGGACTGGAGAGATGGCTCTCCTGCTGTTTCAGAGGACCCGAGTTCAGCTCCCAGCACCCACATTTGTCAGGTGGTTCACGACCACCTGTAACTCTGGCTTCAGGGTATCTGACATCTTCCTCTCGCCTATAAGCATACCCACACCACATACACACACACACACACACACACACACACACACACACACACACACACTTTAAAATAAATCTTTAAAAAACAAAAAGAGGGAAGGAGAGTGGAGGATGGAAGGGAGCAGGGAGGAAAACTCAGCTGGAGTTGAGAGGAGATGGTGGTCTTGTAGTTCACATGACAGAGCCTGCCTGTCATCTGCTAATGGGCTGTGGGGTATATTTGACTTTGACCCCTCAACAACCCTCAGCAGAGCCCCCCCCCCTTCTTCAGAATCCAGCATCCCATCACTGTTCTACCTCCTCACATCAGAAGTGAGAGTGCTCACAAAGTCCAATGTCAAGTCCCCCTCGCTTCCTTTGGCTCCCTTTGAACAGAGCCGAGGAGCCTTCCTGTCCTGAGACAAAAAGTCAACCAGAAACTTAAGTCACTGCGCCACCATGTGGCTAACAGGAGAACAGCATGCTCGGCACGGGGCTAAAGAGGAGAGACAATGAGCCATCCAGCCAGACATTTTAAAATCCGTAATAGACACGGGCCCCTGCTAAAAGGCTCCATGCTAATTGTTCGTTGGACTTGGAATGGCCTGGCCTTGCACGTGCAACACAGACATTCAAGGGGGCCTGGTTTTCTATTTCTGGGTGCTTTTGTTCTATAAAGCAGTGTGGTTAGGAACTGCCCTCGGGTCCGCCCAGCACATACATCCTCAAAGCCATCCAAACAAGCCCTGTCCCAATTTTATGGGGAGCATTGGGAGGGGGGGGGTCAGTGTCTCCAGATAGCCCTACCTTGAGGCTCGAAGGTCCCAGGGTCAGGTGGTCTCTAAAGTCAAGCCCAAATTCCCACTGCAGTAAGGGACGGAAGGAAATGGGTATGAGCCGCACCTCTTGATCCAGGTGACCTGAGATCAAGTCCTACACTTTGGCCCTTGCTTGCTCCAGGCCTCACCATCCCATATGTGATGTGTGATCCCGGGAGGCACAGGAATCATCATTCCTACCTGTGCTTCAAAGGCAGGAGACGCAAACAGCCTCACACATGCAGACACACAGTGAGATGTTTAGAATCAGCGGGGATGGGACAGGGCACCAGTTGTCCTCATCAAATGTTTCACTATCAGCTGTGACTCACACGGGGCAGCTGTTCAAAGCCAAGACCCTCCAAGCCAGAGTCCGGAGAAAGCAGAAGGGGTATGCCTGAGTAAGGGAGAGTAAGACACCTACCTCACAGCCACCTTCAGGATTGGAACAGATAGCAGAGCCTGGCAAAGTGAGGCCATCTCCAGAGCCAGTGGCCGGCCAGTTACAATTCAACAGCAGGACCCTGGAGACTGAGGTACCATCTGTTCTGAGTTGATCAAGGCTCTAGCTTCAAATAGTTATTTCACTCATAAAGATGCGTGTTCTTGGCAGGGTTGACATTTCGCCTTCAGGAAACGTCCCCCAAGCCCTAGTGTCCATCATAATTCACCCCCACAGCACCCTTTCAAAAGGAAGAGACGGTGTAATGCAAAGGCTAGATCCTAACTTTAATTTTTCTGTAGGTATTGATGTGTGAATGAGTGGGAGCAGAGGTCAGAAAACTAAAAGGGACCCAGATGGGGGGGGGAGGCTTCGAGGGAGGGGAGTGGGTGGGCGAATAGAAGGCATGTGATATTAAAGTGGATAAAGGGATACTAGGGGTAGAAGGGAACAAGCA